AAGCAAGTTTTTGGCTCACTTGAGTAGTGTCAAGTTAATCAAGGTCAGACCCATTGTTTAAATTAACCAAATAACTGCAGATTTTCCACTGTTTATGGATACTACCTAAAACTGTACAAGCTGGACATGAACTATGTAAAGGCAGACCGAAGAATAATCACCAGATTTCCAATGAATCATTGCAGTTTCCTGCAAATACATAATAATACATAAAAACTAAATGACTCCTGCACGTTTACCTGTGATATGACATTCTATGTGCAATTCATCTTGTTTTTGTTACTTTCACAGTAACTCTGAAACTGAGATACAGCAGAGAGGTGCTCTGCTCAAAGTCAAGCAGCAGGTCAACAGCAAATAGATAAGACCACAAACAAATAAGACCCCAAAGAAACAAATGAAAAAAATAGCAAGTGTCTACTATATCCACGTATCCAAGTGTTTCTCTGGCTCTTTTAGCAAGAGAAAGATGTCATGGCTTAGATAAATCGACACTAAAATGCAATGAGGAACATGGCTATGACTTCAAGTAAGGAATTCCTGAATCCACACATGGACTCCTTGCTTCAGACTTCAAGATTATAGAATTAGCGATGCTCTTGACAAATAGGTTTAATTAGAAACAAACCGAAACTCTTTGTCGGACAGTCTCCACCCCTCCAGGCTTCTCTAGAAGCCTCTGCACCTGCCTTTGCTGCCCAGGGGAAGCTACAATAGCACTGCGCTGATCACACAGCGATGCTGCCAATGAGTATTGTAGGTGCTATGGTGCTATCCATGGAGGGCAGAAGGTGAGGACAGCAGCAGCACTTCCCAGACCTCTGATGGCTTTTCAAGTACAGCCCAAATGAACATGATAATGATGGTCCAAGTGACTCCAAAAGATGAGACACACCTATTTGTCAAACATCTCCCCTTAGCTATTTGCTGGTGGCTCTATTTATTTTATGGAGGAGGTTCTAGGAACAAAAGAAATACTGTTCCTTACCACCCCATCCGAACAGGCCAGAGAGAGCTTCTCAGGCTCCTGGAGAGGGTGAAGGGGAGACCAGTATGGCCAGAAGAGATGTAATTTGTGACATTCTGCCCCCTGAGGTCTGTGGAATGATGACAACCACTCCCATCCCACTTCTGCTCCTTGCCTTCCCAGTGGGTCTGCACATTTTCTACTAGTAAGAAACTCTCAGAGGGGAATTTTCTGAAGCCTGGCACAGCAAAACCCCAAATACAAAGGTTCTTTTCAAATCCACCTCTGAAAACATAGACTTGGCCAACACGCACATGAGAAAATGCTCTGCATCACTTGCCATCAGGGAAATACAAATCAAAACCACAATGAGATACCACCTCACACCAGTGAGAATGGGGAAAATCAACAAGGCAGGAAACCACAAATGATGGAGAAGATGCGGAGAAAAGGGAACCCTCTTGCACTGTTGGTGGGAATGTGAACTGGTGCAGCCACTCTGGAAAACTGTGTGGAGGTTCCTCAAAGAGTTAAAAATAGACCTGCCCTACGACCCAGCAATTGCACTGTTGGGGATTTACCCCAAAGATGCAGATGCAATGAAACGCCGGGACACCTGCACCCCGGTGTTTATAGTAGCAATGTCCACAATAGCCAAACTGTGGAAGGAGCCTCGGTGTCCATCAAAAGATGAATGGATAAAGAAGATGTGGTTTATGTATACAATGGAGTATTACTCAGCCATTAAAAATGACAAATACCCACCATTTGCTTCAATGTGGATGGAACTGGAGGGTATCATGCTGAGTGAAATGAGTCAATCGGAGAAGGACAAACATTATATGTTCTCATTCATTTGGGGAACATAAATAATAGTGAAAGGGAATAGAAGGGAAGGGAGAAGAAATGGGTAGGAAATATCAGAAAGGGAGACAGAACATAAAGACTCCTAACTCTGGGAAACAAACTAGGGGTGGTGGAAGGGGAGGAGGGCAGGGCATGGGGGTGAATGGGTGACGGGCACTGAGGGGGGCACTTGACAGGATGAGCACTGGGTGTTATTCTGTATGTTGGCAAATTGAACACCAATAAAAAATAAATTTATTATTAAAAAAAACAAATCCACCTCTGAACTGCACACTTAGCCCATCCATCCATGAGCTCTGGGCACATGCTCAGTAAGTGACTATAATCTCTTCTAGACTAGATTCCTGTAGGAACCTTCCATCCATGGCACACCAAGGCTGTGCCTTGAGAGAGGTTTGCCTTCCTACAGGCAGATGATTTAAAAGCAGTAATAAAACTAACCAAAAGTCAGACTGCTTTTTTTTTTTCCATTTGCAAAATCAGATTTTAATTATTGCATCTCTGCTATGAAACACTGCAAAAGTGTCCATGTATTCCCAAAGAATTGAGTGTGTAATATTAGTAACACTTTTGGAACAAAGTTTATCACATTTTCTTTTATGCCACAAATACCCTACTGATTGCTTTTTACTTCATCTGTGTCAGACTGTCCTGACTCGAGTGGACTCGGGTCCCCACCAGTAGTCTCTTTACCATTGCTGCTTCTACTCCAGCCAAAGAGATCCCTCCAAAACGGGATCAGAGCCTGCTATGCCTCTGACCTAAAACTCTTGCTTGCTCCCCTTCACTGCCTTCAGAATGAATTCAACTTCTACTTGCTTTGTGACTCTTCACAGTCTGAGTCCAACTCAGACCACATTCTGAGTCCAGCCCCCCCATGCTCTTTTATCCCCCCATGTGACCCACACCCCCAGTTCCTTGGACACATCATCCCTTTCTCAGGGTCTGTGCCTCTCGTCAATCCATTCCTCCTATTAAGAATTTTCTTTTGATATTGAAAACTCTGACTCCTCCTACAAGGTTGGCTGACGTGTCCACTTCCCTGGGACACTTTCCCCAGGAAAAATTCATGGCCCTTCCTACCTACTCAGAGTGCCTGCTGCATGACTCCACAGCAGCACTTCTATAGTTTTCCCCATATGGCCTCTAAGGAAGGCTATATTCCTAATCACAAGGGTAGAGCCCAAAACATTTGTTGGGCTGCATTTTACTAGTTAACAGAGTTGCTACGCCTTAAATCAGCCTGCATAACCAACCCACCTTTCAGTTCCTGGCTCCTTGGGTCAAAACAGGCTACTTTCCTTTCCATCCATGTGACCCTCAGTCTCTGAAACTAGCTGAGAAAGTAGGCTTACATCCACCTTGGAGTCTTGCTCTTTCCCTCCTTCCTGCAAGTGACCCTCAAAAAGCTTGTTCCAAGGTAGATCGGAATAAATACCCCACACACACATTTGTCTGTGGTCTCAACAGTGTTTCAATTTGGCCTGCTACTCCAGAGTTGCAGGTAACTGGGTACTACTATGGATAATAATAAAGTTGTATCTTGATTCCTACACTTCTCTTTGCACTTCACTCCCTTAGTCAGAAAGCAGTGATGATGAGTGAAGAACACCAGGGCAGGATCTAGGCCCTCATGAATACCCTGAAGGCCTGACCCCCAGTGTCTACCACTCATTACACTGTACTACAGTCGGTTGCTTACATGTGTCTGACATCTCTTATAATCTCCCTCCTAAAAACATTAACGTTCTGCTCACCTTTGATTCTCCAGATCCTAACACATGCAGGCTTAATATAAATGCATATTAGAATGACAGCCTTGCTGGATAGAGTATTCTTAGTTGCATATTTTTCCCATTTAGCATGTTGAATATATCATGCCAATCATTTTTAGCCTGCCAGGTCGCTGTGGACAGGTCTGTTACCAGCCTTTTTGTGTCTACCCTTGTAAGTTAAGGACCTCTTGTCCTGAGCTGCTCTCAGGATTTTCTCTTTATAATGTGCAAGTTTCACTATAATATGTTGAGGTGTTGACCTATTTTTGTTGATTTTGAGGAGAATTCACTGTGCCTTACGAACTTGAATGCCTGTTTCCTTTCCCAGATTAGGGTAGTTCTCAGCTATAATTTCTTCAAATAAACCTTCCATCTTTTTTTCCCCACTCTTCATCCTGGGACTCTTATAATATGAATATTATTTTACTTTGTGAAATCACTGAGTTCCTTAAGTTTATTGTCGTGATCTATTTATTTTCTTTCACTCTTCTTTTCAGCATCCTTGTTTCCCATCACTTTATCCTCTATATCACTAATTCACTCTTCTGATTCCTTGATCCTCATTTTATGGCTTCCACTTGGGACTGCATCTTAGTAATAGCATTTTTATTTCAGTCCAACTGGATTTTAGTTCTTTTATCTCTATAACAAGGGATTCTCTAGTGTCTTTTATGCTTTGTTTCAAGCCCAGCTACTATCTTCATAATCATTGTTTTATTTATTTTTTTGAAAGATTTTATTTACTTATTCATGAGAGACACACACACACAGAGAGAGAGGCAGAAACACAGGCAGGAGAAGTAGGCTCCTTGGAGGGAGCCCAATGTGGGACTAGATCTTGGGACTCCAGGATCATGCCCTGGGCTGAAGGCAGGCACTCAACCAGGTGCCCCTAATCATTGTTTTAAATTCTAGTTCAGACATCTTACTACATGTTGATGAAATCCCTGGCAGTGAGTACTACCTCCTCTTCTTTGTTTTGGGGTGAGTTTCTCCATCTTATTATTTTTGCCCAGAAAAGAAAAGAAGAAAGAAAAAGGAAAAAAACCAACAAGAAGCAAAACAAAACAAAGCAAAAACTAGGTGTGTTTTGGTCTGTGTGTTAAAAGAAACTAAATCCCAAAATATGAAAGAAAGAAAGAAAGAAAGAAGAAAGAAGAAGAAAGAAAGAAAGAAAGAAAGAAAGAAAGAAAGAAAGAAAGAAAGAAAAATGCATATGGCACAAAATACTCTATAAGTTGCCTCCTCCACTCCCTGCTGATTCCTGGCCCAGCTGTCATCCCTCACCCCTGATTCTTTTCTCTCAGAACCCCAATTTTGTTCAGATTTCTAGAAGTCAAGCACTTCAAAGAAGTTGGGGCCCTCTCCAGCCCTATGTTGAACAATCTTACCCATTTTTAACAAAATTGATTAGGATGAGCATGTGTCCTAAGTGTGGCCTAAGAGAGGTTGGTGGGAGACACCTGGAGGTTTCCTTATTCTTAGAAAGGTTTGTCCTTTCCTGCCTTTGGACTCTGTGGTATGAGGGCATGGTGCTTGGAAATGTTGCTTCAGCCATCTGTAAGAAAGAGAGGGGAGAGAAGCAAGTCTCAGGGAATGGAATCCTCTGAGCCCTAACATGGCAATGGCAGTCTGATTGCCAAAATGGTTCAAATTCTCCATTCTACCCTTTGCAATATGACTTTGAAGCTCCTTCCACCACCAGAAGGCAAAGTCTATTTCCCCATTACTTAGGTCTGGACTGGCCTAGTGAATTGTTTTAGCCAACAGTATGAGAGAGAGAGAATCTTAAGCAGGTCCCATGTCCAGCACAGAGCCCAATCTCACAACCCTGAGATCATGACCTGAGCCAAAATCATGGGTCAGATGCTTAAACAACTGAGCCACCCAGGCACCCCAAGACACATTTTTTTAAAGATTTATTTATTTTAGAGAGAAAGATAAAGTGAGCAGGGGGAGGGACAGAAGGAGAGGGAGAGAAAAAAATCCTCAAGCAGTCTCCACTGAGCATGGAGCTCAATGTAGGGCTCAATCCCAGGCCCCTGAGATCATAATCTGAGCCAAAATCAAAAGTTGGATGTTTAACTGACTGAGCCACCCAGGCACCCCCAAGGCATCTATTTTTTTAAGTAGGCTGTCAACCCTTTGAGGTAAAGAACTCGTACTATATGTATCTGTAGAGAGGACTAGAATCTGAAAATGTACATATCAATACGAGGTAACCTCCACTAAATGCAATATGAGCAGACCAGTCCATATGAAGACTTCATGAAGGAAGCTGAATATGAACTGGGTAGTCTTTGAAGGAGGTTTAGGATTGAGAGAGATGAGAATTCACGGGGAGGTGGAGAGAGGCTCTTCTCTGGCCCTGGTGAGTTGGGCATTCCATGGGTATTTGTTCTGGGAAGAGGTGAATGACCAGGAGTCAAGCTCAGAAATGGTGATTTAAGGTATAAAGGACACAACAAGAAAAGAGCAGCTTTCTCTTGCAAGCCCAGCAAAAGTTCTTTCTGTGAGGTCACAAGGCATAGCTGTCAGGAGGTATAAGCCAGTGTTCTCCCTAGCCATTCTCAAAAGTGTTTCAAAAGGCACATTGTCTCAGGGGTCAACAGGCCGATGCCCAGGGTCTCAGAAATGACCAGGCCTGAGGAGTCTCTTTCTACAAGCTGTGCTCCTATACTCTTCACATGCTCTGACTCAGTGAGCCCCCTGCCAGCTTGGGAGGTGGGGGAGGGGGTCATAGAGCAGTCCTTTAATAAAGATTAGATCACAGCTGAACGGATTTCACAAGCCTAAAAGAGAGTAACAGTGAGGTACCTGTTTCTTTCAAATCACCAGGTTTACCACCTCCCTCTCTACATCTGAGTTGCCCCAAGCCTGAGAGGAATGATCAGGGCCCCAGGCTCTGTCAGGGCCATCCCCCTTGGGGTCTGAAGAAAAGGTTAAGGAAAGCCCCCTGTTCTCCCAACTGCAAGCATGAAGGCGTTAAATAATTCTGAAAACAAACCAGCTACAGAATTAGAGCACAGGGAAAGAGGAAACTATTATGTATTTTGGCCAAGAAGCCTTCTTTCTTTTATCAAGCAATGATTATGTGCTAAGCAGATCTTATCTGCAATATTTCTCTGAAATAAGTATAATGATTCCCATTTTACAGTTAAGATATCAGCCTCAAGAGAGTGAGAAATGTGCCCACAGTCAAAGCCAAAGCTTTTGAGTGGGAAAGGCAGGATTCAGACCTAGGTCAGTACGATGCTGAAGTCTGTGGGCTCCCCACGAAGTCCCCATGCCAGGCCTGGCTACTAGGATTTTTTCAAAGTCTGAGTGGAACACAAGCTTTCACAGGGGATTAGTTGTAGAGGCATCACTTAGTCAAGAGAGTAAGTGAGTTAACACTTTGGACTTCAAACCAGTTCTGTAATAAAGTAGCCATAACAGCCATGTGGCCTTGGCCCAATCACCTGATTTCCCAGGGCCTCAATTTTTTTTCATTATACAGTGAAAAAGTGAATCTGGATAATAGATGAGACCCTCTAGCTCCTATGGCTAGGAGGTGTTCCATCTCTTCCATAGAGAGGCTAGCCCAGACTGATCGGACCCAACTGAGAGTTTCTAGGAAAGAGGTTCAGACTGGTTCAAAGTCAACCCTCCTCCAATCCACCAAAATCAGGACTTCAAAAGTATTGATTTAGCTGTTGGAGGCTCAGTCTTGTGGATGACAGGGCAGTTAAAGGGGCAACTGTAAACGACCCTTGGACATGCTTAACAACCATCTATGCCACAACATCCAACCAGAACAGTGAAGATTCACCAAGCCAGTCTCTCTTGACCATGGGAAACTTCACCACTGCTTCCCTTGCTTTGAGAAAGGAGAGCTTGTCCATCCACCCCTTTCCCCTCCTTCCAGATCCTCTGATGGGGCAGAAAAGCCACATACGGTTGTTGTACATAAGAGAAGGGGCCAGGGACACCTGGGTAGCTCAGCAGTTGAGCATCTGCTTTCAGTTCAGATCAGGACCCTGGGGCCCTGGGGATTGAGTCCCCCATCCGGTTTCCTGCAGGGAGCCTGCTTCTCCCTCAGCCTGTGTCTCTGCCTCTCTTTCTGTGTCTCTCATGAATAAATAAATAAAAATCTTTAAAGAGAGAGAGAGAGAGAGAGACAGAGGAAAGGAGAGGTAAGGAGAGGAGGAGAGGAGAGGAGAGGAGAGGAGAGGAGAGGAGAGGAGAGGAGAGGAGAGGAGAGGAGAGGAGAGGAGAGGAGAGAGGGTCATCCCTGCTAGCTGAGAATGTGCCTTTCCTGAAAGTCAGTCCTGGGGGATCAAATGTCATTGAGGATGTTGACTGACCTTCCACACCAACCCCCCAAATCAGCTAACACCCGCAGTGGGCAGGCCCTAACAGAGGGAAAGACAAGACTGCTGCAGGAATCTGCGGGGTGGCAGCTGCCTCTCAGTCACAAGGCTGCTGAATAGGTAAGGGAAGGGAATCTGGCCCAGGGCAGATTTACACGCAGCTCTGCTGCCCGCACTGCTGCGAAGGCAAAGCCCCACCTCCTCCCCGCCCCCGCGCCCAGCAGCGCTCGCAGGGATTGAGGCTGCAGGAGCCTGACACCGAGAGCCTGCAGTCGCTGGGAGCCGCTCCAGGACACAGCCTGTGCGAGGGAAAAGGTTTGAACAAGAAGAGTAAAGGAAAGCGAGAGTCCTTGGTTTGTGTCAGGAGAGTTTGAGCCAATAGTGGGTTGCTGGGTGGAGGACCGTGGAGGAGCGTGTGCGGTTACCTGGTTATGTTCCTCTCTCCCTGCTCCACCTTGCTGAGCTCCAATCAGCCAGATGTCCAGAGTGGGGACTCACCACTGCAAGGGCCGCCAGTCCTCAGAACAGTCTCACAGGAAGGACTCAGGTGGGCTTTAAGGCTGTGGGGGTGCAGGTGGGGGGGCCAATGGAAGGGTGGGTAGGTGTAAAGGAGAGAAATTTGGGGGGTGAGTGTGAGAATTCAGGATGGGAGGTGACAGCTGGGGAGAAGGGAATGTATCCCCAGGCAGTTGCTGGTGGATGGGGCTTCCCTGCTCCTGTCATGCACTGTGCTTTCTGCAGAGGGCCAGCAGTGAAGGGCTAGAATGGAGGCTGAGGTCAGGGTGCTGTGGGTGACTGGCACTGTCCAGGTCCCCAGGCTTCTGTCTCTCAGAGCCATTATCTAACTGTTCAGCAGGGAGGGGAGGAAATCATAACTACACATTTCACAAGGAGGCTCTCTAGGAAGGAAGAGCGGCTGCAAAGAAAGGATGTGGGTGAGAATGAACAGAAAGAGCCTTCCCAGCATCCATACTACAAGGCAGCTGATGGAAGCTAAGATGACTTGATCCTAGGAGATCTTAAGGGGAGGGGAGGCTGCCCCCTCCCAGAGGGCCTGGCAGGACTGGCCTGGGCTGGGCAGAGAACAGGTGCTGCTGAATGAGGGAGAAGCTGTGCAACCTTGGGCAACTTAATCAACGTCTCTGGACCAGGATCAATCATAAAAATGCCTGCTCTGCTGACTTTAGTGGATTGTTGTGATGTTCAATTGTGGAAAAGGTTTGTAAAATGTGAAGTGCACTTAAATGTAAAGGCATAAAATTATTCTTGCCAGAATTTCTTAGACTAGTGGTTCCCAACTCCAGCTGCACATGAAAGTCTCTTGAGAAGCTTTTTTTAAAATGCTGCACCAGGACTCCATCCCAGATAAATTATTCAAGTTGGAGATGGAGAGGGAACAAGACAGCAGAGGGAGAAGGAAGTGGTATTTTTTTAAAAAGTGTCTCCATGGTTCTGAAGCCCTATGAAGGCTGAGACCCACTGCCTAAGATTTCACAAACCTCCTGAAGGTAACTGCTTGGAGCACACGTCGCAGCTTCTCCCAGATTTACTAAGTCAGAAGCCCAAGGAGCCCCACAATCTCACTATTGAGCAAGCAGTAAAAGCAGCATGGACATGTTGTCGCAGTGATGAGTCTGTCAATGACCTCTTTCCCCACAGGATGGATGATCATACCCAGCAATGCTCTTGACAATGTGGGCGTAGTTGCTTGGGAAGGGGAGGTGCCCTTCAGATAATAAGTGCAGACATGTGCTTTTGGGATGGGGTTGTGCCAGATAGCCACATCCAATCCCAGCCCTGCTGCACCGAGATGACAGTCCAATTATCAAATGACAAATTCCCCAACCAAGGAGCCTGAGAACCTTAAGATAAAAAGGAAACCATGATGTTATCTATAGCTAATAGCAGAGATGGCCCGTGTCTTATTGTTTTGTCAATAGATTGCTTGGGCTTTCTTGTTTCACACTCTCTCTGCGTGCTCCATTCCATTCCAAAGATTCTATAAGCACACACACATATGTGCCCATTCACACCCACTCACATGTGAGACCCCAACCTCATCAGGCACTCAAATGGGCAGATGAAGAGGATTCAAGGAGCCAGTGAACTCCTACCAGGCAGCCATGTTACCTGGGCACATGGCTAGTGTAGGATAGGATAATGCAGCTAACATTGGGAAGAAAGGTAGCCTAGGGGTCACTGGGTT